GGGGGGGGGGGGGGGGAGGAGCCCCCGCCGCCCCCGGGGGGATACGCCTGCCACGGAGAGGAGAAGCCAAGGACAGGGCGCAGGGGTGCTGCTGGGGCAGGGGGCTGCCCCGGGGCATGGGAACCCCCTGGAGCTGCAAAGGTGCGGGACAGGTTTGCAGGCAGGTTTGCAGGCAGGTTTGCAGGCAGGGCAGGGGGTTGCAGAAGGGGCCGCTGCGGGGGGTGGGTGCACCTACCGCTGGGTGAGAGCTGCTTCGGGACACATCGTCCATGGTTGTCCTCCTGGAAGGGCGGCAGGCAGGGGCCGCAGGCGCCCGACCCCGGCGGTCAGGAGGAGAAGAGGGGTCAAACGCTCCCCCGGGTCTCTCCGTGGCTGCGTGGCGTGGGACCCAGCCACCCTGGGCAGCTCCTGCTGCAGTTAATGGGTGCAGATGTGCTTCACCGGAGCTGCCCCTCGCCTCCCTTTGCCTTCACAAAGCCATTACTGACTGCAATTTAAGTACGGGCTCTAAGGACCTGGGAGTTGGACTCGATGATCTTTATGGGTCCCTTCCAACTCAAGATATGCTATGATTTTATGACCTGCGCAAGGCTGTTTGCTGCCTGCAGGCAAGAGCAGGCAGTGCCCATCCTCCTGCATGGGATGCCCCAAGCCCCAGGGTGCTGCCGTTTCCTGGGACACCCCAAGCCCCAGGGTGCCGCCATCCCACAGGACACCGCGAGCCCCAGGGTGTCACCATCCCGCGGGACGCCCCAAGCCCCAGGGTGCTGCAGGGCATCCTGAATCCCACAGAGCTGGCAGCGACGAGGGTCTCCAGCAGCCGCCTGCACCACGCAGGCAGTGGCCGAGCAGGCTGGCAGCTGAAATCCAAACCACACAAACCGATGCTTGTGTGGTTGCTGTCAAACCAAAAAAACCCCAAAGCAACCCCCTGCAGAGCCTCAGCTCAGCCGTGACAGGACATCACAGGCAGCTTTGGTTTCCATCCCTTTGACATTGTGACAGGGAAAAATGGAGGGACCCAGCCCTCCCCCGGTGACATACCGCGGCCCAAACCTCCCTCGTGGCTTTACGGGGCATCCCGTTTCCATGTCGGACCCGGGGACCCCTCCGGTACCTGGGGCAGGCACAAGCCCCACGCTCCAACCTCAGCCGGACTCACCGTACTCGTGATGCCGTGGCAGCCTGCCATGGCCAGGAGCAGCCCCGGTCCTCCCCCAGCCTGGCTCAAGCCAGTGGGACCTCATGGGGGGACACAAAGTCCCCAGGTCCTAAGCAAAGCCGAGCTGTGAGACTAGGTGAGGGTGGCAAATGGTGTGTGGCGATAGAGAGAGGAACCGTGACCAGCTGGGACAGGGACACGCAGGGCCAGCACACAGGTCCCACCTGCACTGGCTTTCAGTGACAGCAGCAGGAGCCGCTGCTGGGGATGGTGACACTGCTGGCACTGCCGCGGCATGAACACGGACGTCCCTCCCTCAGGAGCTGGGGGCAGTGAGGAGCTGGGCACCGCTCAGCGTGTCCATGTCCTGGGCTGGCACAGCTGGATGGGGGGTGCACAGCTGGATGGGGGGTGCGCACACCTGCCCTAGCCCTGCTCTTCACCTTGCCGTGCGTGGCCATGCCCACACCTTTCCCACCGGCAGCAGCAGGCAGGAGAGCACCGCTGCGGGGCCCTCACCGGGAGCAGAGCCAGGCCTGGCCGCCCCCAGCCTGGCGATGAGTCACGGCAGGAGCCGGCTCCCAGCACCATCCCACGCTCCCTGAGCCGTCCCCGGCCGCCCACGCCGAAACCGCGGGCAAAGCACCCGCCGTCTGCCTGTCCCCATGCCCTGAGGGATGGCAGCACCGGGGACAGCCCCGGCGCAGCACAGCACCGAGCACCCCATGAGAAGGGGCACCCCAACTTTGGGGGCTTTCCCGAGCATCCCCATCCCTGCAGCACACCGGGGGTGAGGGGTGCAGCCGCTGCCATGCCCTGGCACGGCACGGTGGAGAGTCCCGGCGCAGGATGGAGCCACCAGGACACAAAGCTCCAGGGCCGCTGTGGCAGCTCTGCTCCCCCAGCAAGGGTGCAGGTGCCGAGCGGGATGCCACCCCAAAGCAACAAGCGTGGGATGCCAAGCGGGATGCCACCCGCAACAAATCCCCTTTTGCACGGCCCCATTTCACCATTAAACTGCTCACCGGAGGGTGCAACCGCTACCAATGGCCCCCAGACTGCGCCCGGACCCCTCCCCACTGCACCCCACGGGGCAGTGCATTCATCACCCCCCGGCCGACAGTGCCAAAGGAGGGCAGAGCTGCCTTCGGTGCAGCTGTTTCTCGTGCGGGCAGGGTTTTCTCTGCAATTGGGGTTGGCTGAACCCCGTCCCGGGTACAGCGGCCTGGAGGGGATTCGCTTGGGGTGGGGGGCAGAGACCCCCGTGCCCGCAGGAGCCGGGTTTGCTCCCTGGGGACGGTGCGGGGCTCAGCCAGGCAGCTGGGGGAGAATTCATGCTTAACAGCAAAATAATCGGGTGTTTAAGTACAGAAATTGGACTCGGCCGCCTGCTTCGCCTGCCCCGGGCTCACTCTCAAGGCCGCTTTGTTTAAAAATCACAAAATGGCCACAAACCACAGCCGCTCAGGGGCAGGAGGAGGTTTCGGTACCGTGCGGCCCCAGGGGTGGGGACATGCCACATCCCCGCGGGGCGCTGGACAGCGGCGAGGCGACGCCCGCCTGTGCCACTGACCCATGTGCCCCCAAAACAGGCGCTGCCGAAAGCGGTTC